AGCTTGTGTATGTGAGCACGGGGCTGGGAGGGCAGTGGGGAGCCCCAGGAACTCAGGGGACCAGGCAGAGCTTGTGTAGGTGGGCAGAGGGATGGGGGGACAGTGGGGAGCCCCAGAAGCTCCGGGGACCTGGCACACCTTGTGTAGGTGAGCAGTGGGATAGGGAGACAGTGGGGAGCCCCAGGATCTCGAGGACCAGGCAGAGCTTGTGTAGGTGAGCAGGGGACTGGGAGAGCAGTGGGGATTCCCCCAGGAGCTCAGGGGACCAGGCACAGCTTGTGTAGGTGAGTAGGGGAATGGGGGGACAGTGGGGAGCCCCAGGAGCTCAGGGGACCAGGCACACCTTGTGTAGGTGAGCAGAAGGCTGTGTGGTCAGTGGGGAGCCCCAGGATATCTGGGGACCAGGCAGAGCTTTTGTAGGTCAGCAGGCAGCTGGAGGGCAGTGGTGAGCCCCAGGATCTCAGGGGACTAGGCGGAGCTTGTGTAGTTGAGCAGGAGCCTGGGAGTGCAGTGGGGAGCCCCAGGAGCTCAGGGGACCAGGCAGAGCTTGTGTAGGTGAGCAGGGGGCTGGGACAGCAGTGGGGAGCCCGAGGAACTCAGGGGACCAGGCAGAGCTTGTGTAGATGAGCAGGGGACTGGAAGAGCAGTGGGGATCCCCAGGAGCTCAGGGGACCAGGCACAGCTTGTGTAGGTGAGCAGGGGTCTGGGAGGGCAGTGGGGAGCCCCAGGAGCCCAGGGGACCAGGCACACCTTCTGTAGGTGAGCAGAGGGCTGGACAGACAGTGGGGAGCCCCAGGATATCTGGGGGCCAGGCAGAGCTTGTGTAGGTCAGCAGACAGGTGGGGGGCTGTGGGGAGACACAGGATCTCAGGGGACCAGGCGGAGCTTGTGTAGTTGAGCACGGGGCTGGGACAGCAGTGGGGAGCCCCAGGATCTCAGGGGACCAGGCAGAGCTTGTGTAGGTGAGCAGGGGGATGGGGGGACTGTGGGGAGCCCCAGGAGCTCAGGGGACCAGGCACAGCTTGTGTAGGTTTGCAGGGGTCTGGGAGGGCAGTGGCAGACCCAGGAGTCCCTGGCTAGTGGGTATAGGGACTGAGGTCCCAGCTGCCCTGCACTGTGCTGGAACTGAGGTGTAAAAGTGTCTTGGGGATCCTGGTGAACCAGTTCAGGGAGGAGAGGGAGCCCTGCAGAGTCTGTCAGGGAGGGCGTGGAGAGGGTTACTGGGCAAGAGGAACCTATGTGGTGACCGGGTGGGCAGCAGTTCTTGGGCCCAGGACACCAGCTAATACCCAGGGCATGTGGGGAAGTGCAGCAGGAGGGGTCAACTTTGTAGGGATGCAGAGGGCAGTGGACGCTGCAGAGGGAATAATGTGGGGCTGA